AGTCGTAGTCGCGGTCGTAGTCGTAGTTGAGTCGTAGTCGCAGTCGTCGTGGTAGTCGCAGTCGGAGTCGGAATCGACCCTTCATTTTTTCATTTGTCAGATCATGGAAGCCGTGATGGGCAACCTGGAAGAGTTTACCGAGGTGCTCAACAGCAAGGCGCCACGCTATTCCCGATTCGGGACGCGCCTGCGTTTCCATGCCCAACCCGGTCCTTCGAGTGGGTTCCGCTTTAGGCGTCCTGCAATTTGGTGTAGGGATGCAAATAGAGAGGCGGCAGCTGCTCCTTCGAGAGCCGCTGCCATGCCAGGGGCCTCAAACGCAGAACAACTGCAAACTTTAACCCGTCGTGCAGGTTCGTGCGATGACCTCCGCCGGAGGCCGAGGACTCCACATGGCGCTTTGAATCGCATTCTGCATGACAGCGATCGTGCCGGATGACGCCATTGGGCATTCGATAACAGAGTCCGTTAAGTTACGTTGGTTGCAGCACACTATTGGCCATGCATTCAGCTTTAGGGTGCAGTCTAGGGTCTGAGCCTGGGGTTTCCAGTGCAAAGGTCGGTTATGCTGCATCAATCTCGGCCCGGACTGCAAGGGAGTCTAGTAGTGGGCAGTCCCCAACGGTGGTGGAGCTTCCAACTAGCACCTCAGGATCACAGGGTTAAGCCGCAGTTCTGGGCCAAGTGATTGTTTCTCCACTGAGTCACTTCTGGAAAGCCGCAACTAGTCCTGCCCCCACCTAAAACCGCTCCTGCAATGCTAGCTGAACCCCAAACCATATTAACATTTTCAGGTAGGCCTCACAAGCTTCAACTGCCGGGTGGGCGGTCTTGTAGCTGGAAGTCTCGCTAGTTGTCATTGCCGCGAGCCCAGCATGAAAAGCACACTAAACCCGTTTGTGTAAGCTGTAAGTCTGCCTATGCAAGTCCCAAAAAGCAGCCGCTGTAGTCAAAGTTATCGTAACGCTAGGTACCCTTAAATTAAAGTAACCCTTCACATTTCCCAAAATGCTGAGCTCTGAGGTCATCCTTTGGTTCATCAGTGGCTCTGCGGCGGTAGCACCGGTTCTTCTGCCCGAGGCGCCACCTTGGGGTTTTACGTCCCCCTCATGCTTTCAGCGGCCTGGAAGTACTCCTGGGCAGTGTGGTACGGGTTTGTTTGGGGACTGACGGCTTTAGACTTCAGGTTCTTCAAGGTTTTGGGGTTGTGCTGGCATTCTAGGTAAAATGCTACCGGTGTTTGCTGACTGCATGCCACCGGGCATCCCTTGTGTTGGCAGGGATGACTGTAAGCGAAAGGACTCATGGAGCAAGCCGCTGTAAAGAGAAACCCTGAACGTGAGGGCACAGACCGTGTCCCAAACATGCGCAAGTAAGTAAGTTGTTTCTCAGCTGTCCCATAAGCAAGCATTTTCTTCTGAACCTGGTCTATCAACTTGGATCTTCGGAATGTTGCAAACACTTTCCTTCCATCGGGTTAATCCTGGCTTGTACGGATCTTCTTGTTGGCTGTGGGCTGGGCGCTGGCCGCAGGAAATCGACAGCACTTGAACAGGAGGGGTGGGTTCTTGTACCGTCGGACCCTTTTGTTGTCGCAGCGAAACCTGAGCTGTCCTGAGCTCGCTTGCGAAGAGTATGGTCATTCGTACTCAGAGTATTGCCAGCTGTGGAATTCGTAGCCATTTGTGGCACAGGCGCATGTCACCTACTCGGCCGCTTGTCTGCATGCTGCCCAAAGTGCTGCAAGTTCGGGTTGTCGGCCGTGCATAAAACCTAAACGCAGAGCCACGCTTGTGTACGCATTATATCCTGCCCTAGATCCTGCACCCCGAACTCTCAGTCAAAACGAAGCCTAGAGGCCGGGCTTACATGCGAGAAGTTGATTTCTGATGAGTTCCGACCAGTCCTTTTCATAATCATATATATATATATACACAGTACATTACATTGTATTTCATGTTAGTCTATTATATGTCTTCTTCCACGGCCTCTGATGCCAAACCCCAGGAGACAACATCAACTCGAGAACGCAGGTGGCTTCGGCCTGAGAGGCGTAGGTCACAATGAAGCATTTTGTTACAATCGCACAAGTAATAGCAATAGAATAAAGAACATAATGACAAAAATAGAAGTAATAACAATGATGATGAAATAATAACAATAACAAAAACCATCATTACAAGTAGTAGTTTTGATGATGATAAGGCCCAGTTGTCGTTCCGCCGTGGGGAGGACTATGCTGCAGCTGTTTCTACTACTACTCGGGTGCTACGGACAAGAAAAACAAAGGCTGACTCCAACCCTAAGCCCCGAACTCTGTGGCCGAACCAATACTTAGAACAGTCTTATAAAAAAGCCAAACCATCCCACAGCTTGTCAACTGTACAGACGCCTGCCATGCCGTCAAGAACGGCATAAGCCGGTACAGGGCCTACACTTCCTCCCCGGACATCCCCAGACCATGATGAACCTTGCCTTTCAATCCTAAATACCTACAACTGGCCATGATATATGAATTTACTATGATATACTATAATCATCTACTAGGCTATACCTCAAACCTGGAAGCGAAGCAGGGCGAGCTGAAACTCAGCAGCGAGCTCTCCGTCCTGGGCACCGACAGCAAAAAGGATGCGGGGTGCCCCAGTGATTCGCAAGGTGGAAGGGGGGGCACCTGAGGCGTTCTCACAGCCACGGGGGCACGGCTGGCTTTTCACTCTTAGAAGGAAGCGGGAGGGTCGGATAGATGTTGTGCGTGAATTGAGCATGGTGAATGGCATCAGCACACAAGTGCACCTGACGTCCCACAGGTATAGACAGCGCTTGTGCGAGGTCGTACTTGTTTTGTTTTTCAGTCGTGGCTGCATCTGGGTTTTGTTGCTTCGCGCTCTTGCACATTTCGCCTAGTGGTGAGATGTGGTCCTATCCGAGTATCCAATCTAAGTTTAGGATGGAACCGGGTCATCTTGAGAGCCAAGGTCATCCTCAAGTCCGTTTGCAGCAGCGGCCCTGCGCAGGCGTGAAAGATTTTGGATGTGATTGTGATGTCAGGGCTCTGGTCGATTGGCTGTTTAGATTTCTTTTCAAGCCGAGGCGCCTTTATGCTTATGGTTTCCGAGCTGCACTTTCCTGCAAAATTGTTGCTCTGAAGCAGGTCTTGTTGCCGAAGAAGTAACAACACCCAGTCACCAGCCAGAATCGCTGCAGGGAGGACTGTTGTTTCGGGCAAAATTCCGTTGCCCACAGGCTCAAGCGTGTGCTAAGCGATGACAAGACCAAGCCCATACTTATCTCAGTTTTCGCTTTGTCATCGCTGGCCTCTGAGCCGTAGCTAGTTTCGGATAAGTTTCTTGCCAGCCCTACAATCCGGCGTTGGGGCTGACAGACAAATACGTGGAAGGGATCCTACACATATAATAACATAGGCAGCCTCAGCTGCTCGCTATGGACAAGGAGGAGGCCTACATAAAAAGCATGGGTATCCCTTAAGGTTTCGAGCTGAGGTGTTCGTGTTCTTTGGTTGGGATTTGGGACAGGTGGCTTCAGCAAGGCCTTTGAGCAAGTTGTGTTGTGGTGCGCGTGTGTGTGTGTGTGAGGTTGGCTACAGTGTTTCGTTAGGATGACGTTGCAGGAAGGGAACTTGGAAGGGACAATGGTACTCGGCATATCATGCCTTTGGCGACCTCACATGCTGTGTTGATGCTTTTCATTACATGTGGTTGTACATATATATATATATATATGTATGTATGTTTATGCCATCAACATGGAGGCCTGAGTAGGCGGACGGAGGTTGGGAGCTGCACGGTTATACTACAGATAGATATGATCATTTCTCGTTCTGCGCTGTTCCAATCAACGTTCAATTCTGTGTGCAATATTGGGGCCTAAACAATTACCGATACTGCCAATACTATTTTGGGAGGTTCCTCATTATATTTATAGCATAACCTACCCCCAAACCTTATTCTAATTATAAAAGGCCCCTACCTTTTTCTGTTGTATTCTGGTTGAGCCTATGGCTAGCCAAGTTTCGCCGCATTTCGACTGCCTGCATTCCAGGAACCGCTGCATGCCTTTATTTAGCGTAGTAGGGAATTGCAGTACTACGTGCGATGTCATGTTTTGAAGTTGCACGTAGCTCTGCAAAGGGATGGACGCATTGCGCACGCATACTTGCTTTTGCAGTGTGCGTGGCACTCTGCGTGTGTATGCGCATGTGCTGGCACAATCACGGGTGAGCAAAACACAAAGACACAGAAATTACAACGCTCAGGTATTGTTCGTGCGTTATTGAAATTGCTTACAAAGTATACATCCCCACAAAATTTCGCGCACACACACACAAGCTTACACACATATACATTCCAGCATTTGTGTGTGTATATTAAACGTTGAAGCCGAAGCAAACAAGAACCCTCTGTGCAAGTCAGGGTCCTGCCGCCCCTGCGGCTGAAAGTAGTTCGATCCCTAATATAATTGACTATATAGTCACTCCAGAGCAGTAATCCTCAGGGCCGGAAGAACTCGCAAGCCGGGACTCCGCGACCCTGCAAACCTATATTCGTACTTATGGTCGAGTGTGTAGTTTGTCTTCAAGACAGCTTTCAAGCTCGGAGCCAACAAAAGGAGGGCCCTGCGAACCCAGACGTTAAGACTTTAAGGCATTCTTTGAGGCAGCTGAGCGACTGAAGCGCCAGTTTCGGAAGCTGGACACGAACCGCTTCTCTGAAGCACTGGTGGCTTAGCGACCGGTGCCACAGGGTAAGATAAGGCCTAATAGGGTCACCTGAGTTTGCTTCATGTATACAGGCGAGCCTCTGGTACGGATAAGTATGGTCATCTCAGCAGAAACCGATGTTTGATTATGGGTATTGTTGAGACAATCTTTGAGCCAATCCTTTGGCCCCAGGAAAGAACACAAAACATGACAACATATATAATTATCAATGTGAAATGAATATGACCTGAAACCACCCCGCCCTCCGACATAACTCATGTTACCTTCATAGTTTCCCGAATCGAGTTAGGTGAAGAGGTGTGCGGGAGGGTGGGTGAGGAGTTCTGCAGTCAGTAGGAAAACATGAAGAAGTATGACATACTGTTGAAGGCAACATGTACTGATGAAGGAAATATGGAACGGTTTTGAGATGTAAGAAATGGTTACAAAAATTCTGTGGATGAATGTTGAAATAGTTACGAGAGTTTGAGATCTGTTTTATATTCGCACCGATAAACCTTTCCTATCTTCGGCATGCACAAGTTCATGAGTCTTTCATATTTATATCATAATTTTGCCTTTCCTCCTTGCTTTCCAGAGATTAGCCGGCGAAGATTTTGTTTAGAGCTGACAAGCCGCTGCGTGCCAAGGAGATGGGCTGCTGGACAAGAACGAGCTGCATGCGTTACTGCAGAAGGGAAACCCAACTTTTACGGAACAGGAGCTGGGCGGTAGTTGCTCAGGTCTTACCGTGTGGGTGCCGCAAAGTTTGTCTTACCACCCAACTCTTTCGATTGCGAAACTAGGATGCAAGTGACAGGACCAGTAGGGCCGTGCCAAGAATTTTTACTGACAAGATGCTGCACGATTCTTTCGCGCAGGAAGTGTCAATACTCTTCACCCAGATCAGCAGGACAGGGTTGTGTGAGAGCCGGCGTGCAAGGCTGCTTGGAACGCAGTCTCGCTTAGCTTACAAAGCAGTCACCCCTTGATTTCAATTTGGAGCTCTTGTGTGCTCGCGGTGCTAATCCTTGTCGTTCCTTGTGCGGCAGGAACGATGACAAGGCGCCGTGGCCGCAAGGAAGGAGCAGACCACATCTGAGCTTGTCACCAGCGCAGGAGACCATTTGGCTCCCTCGAGGTTTCCAGTAGCTGTCGAAGGAGGGCTGAAAGGTGCGGACTCCGGATCTGGGTGTCTCAAACGGTTAGGGACCTTAAGGGGTGGTGCGGGATTTCGCAGAGAGGTGACCTTCGACGAGTTTGTGGACTACGTCTACGATAGGCAACTGAAGCAGCCGAAGAAGGAGCTCAGCTTCTGGGAGAGCCTTCGTTGCGATTCAGTGAGCCTCTGGGGGGCTAGAAGATGATACGCTGGCTGTTTGAGGCAGTGTGTTGTCGCATGTTTTCCCAAAATGTAGCTCGTCGCACTGATACAACATGGCATAATTCTTCAACATATGATGCCGGGCGTGCGGGATTCCGCCTCTCGCACTGGCCGTGCCATGTCAGCCTGTGGGTAGGCTCATGCACTGACTGCCATGCAAACTTTCTCAGATTGTGGTACGATGTGTTGCCTGGTCGCACAAGTAGAACCACAGATGCCTGTCTCTGTCGCTGCAGCGACATACAGGCACCAATTGCGCCGTACAGTCTCATCTAGAGACGACAGAAACAGCACAAACATGATGGAATGTCATGATACACCTACAACACTTGTAGACACCCTGGGGCAGGATGCAACATCGTGCGCACGGGATCGTGCAATTTCAGGCAGTCTCAAGTTGTAGAGGATGAAGCCATCTAGAGCGCGCAGCGCGTGGGTACGGCACAGTCACGTGGAGCAGCGTTGAGTGGGAAACCACGAATCAACTGCGGCAGGACACTATAACACACATAACCCTGCTAGGCTTTGCTACATGCCATGGTGTAGACCGTTGCAGTGTGGAACGTTGCTGTACCAGCTAGGGCAAGACCGGCATTGGTATGTGGCGAAATATCTAATACCGATCTTGCAAGAAGCACACGCTGCGCTGCCCCAGGAAGAAGGTGGATGAGATGAAGAAGATCTCCGAAGCCCACATGGCCGAGGTGACGCTAGTAGTTTGAACTCCAGAGACGAACGCGAACCACTCTTGCAGAAGTCTTCGGTTGTACCTTTTTTCAAAACTCTTTCGCCCTTTTGCCTACCGAGCCAGGAGCTGTTGAGCTAGGGCTGTCGGGTTTCAAGCCAAGGGCTGAGACAAAAAAGAGCCAAGCCGGTAAGCTCGTCGAAAGGACATTGGGCAATGTTGAGTCGATGGTTACCTAACCAGCTTCGCCAGTTGCGTCTCTAAGTTTTGTCCAACTCAAAGAGGGTGAGACATGAATCCGGTCAGTTTGCCTGCTACCCTGAAGCAATGCTGAGAGAGGTCGACCGTGTCTGCTTTCATGGAGCGTTTCTCCACGAAGACCTGAAGCCTTTCTGCACACAGGGCCGGTAGTTTCGGGTTCGGGGCCTCAAAACCTGACTTCTCTCAGAGGTTCAGGGGGTTCGGGTCTGGGCTTCCGGTTCATCGTCGCGATTTTCAAGGCTTCTCTGAAGCCGTAGAACTTTGTGGTTGAGTGCCCGCAGCGAGATAGTTTCGAAATGCACGTCAGAATAGAAGCGGCAGCAGTAATCCTATCTGCACCTAAGCCTAAACTTGTTACAGTAACTAGAAGGAAGACCTGGTGGCTACGGTTGGGGTTTTGGCGCCAATGAAGCTTCTTTGAGAGTTGGTCGCCCAGAGAGGCCTGTGTAATGTCGCTGGGCAAAGGCGGCGCCTTGCTGAAATCCATTTTTTCCCGAAAAGCAGAGGCGGGTCGTAAAAGTTGACCCCGGCCCCAGCCTCGACGGCTTCGCCCAGGAACGGTCGCTTCTCCAAGGCAATCTGCCTGGTTTGCTTGGGTCGCGTCGTTCGGGAAGTCCAGGACATAGCTACTCAAGGAGCGGTCTACGGGTTGCTAGGCTACTTCAAGCACCTCCCTGCCCAAGCTTGAGATACCGCACGAAGAACCTCGAAGGATTCTACTCATCATGATAAAGTCTCATGTGCACGAGTTTGTGGAGGGCGAGATGAGAACTGGGTTCTTGTAAAGAAGTTTGTCTTAACTGTAGTTACCACAATAGGGGTCAATATCAAGTAACTTGGCGCTATGGTAAGGAGAAATAAGTTCCTTAGCAACAACCCAGATAAATCAAACCTCTCCATCTTCGCAGCCCAGCCGCAAAAGACGTTACTTATCCCTGTCGTGCTGACACCCCACGTCGCAGACCCCAAAGCGTAAATTCCACAATCGGCCTGAGTAATCCCAAGCCGCGCATCGTGAGTTGGAGTTCGTGGCTGCGCCTCTGTGGAACGACCTGTTCAGGGATCCATTTGCTCGCCATTGGTCGGGATCTTGGTGACTTCTTGCGGCTGCAGAAAGCAACGAACAAGTAAGTTCGTGATTCGGAGGTTGGCAGACACCTGAAGTATAGGACAAATGTGCCTCGTTTGGAGAACTCGAGGGTGAGCGCTTAAACCCCAGCTCGGAAGTCGGAAGCAGTGGAAGGCCGACTGGAGCTTCAACGACCTTCCCGTCTACGAGCGAGGCTATCCCGAGGCCAGGGCTCTCAAAAACTTGTCGACAGGCGTTTGGGCTACCGGCTAGGGCGGCTAGGGGCAGTGTTGTTGGGTCGGGCGGGGAGGAGGGGTGTTCAGCTCAAGTGAACGACTTAGCTCTTTGGCTTTCTGGAGGATTGGACGGCCGTGCTGTTTGCCACGGCTTTCGAAGCACTTCATGTCCTGACCCATCAAAAGCAGACCCATTGTTGATCCGCGTGATTCGAATCGTCGTGTTCTGTAGCCGTATCTCGTAAATCACCTTTTTTGTAGCAGGAGTGTAGCCCAAAACGTGCAAAAAACATGCACAACGGGTTACATGCATGCTGCCAGCTCCTTGCTTAAGCAGGCCTACATCTTCTACGGCTGGACGGAGGATGGCAAGAAGCAAGGCCTGTCAGTTTCAGCTTCCTGTGGAATATGCGCCCAGAGCAACCCTGCATTCCGATTCAAGCAAGCCAGGCCTGAAGCAACAAAGCCCAACCCCAAATGCTACGTCGGGGATGAGTGCCCTTCCAACCTGAGATGCCTCGTCGCTGCGAGTCCAAACCTTAAACCCCGCAAACTCCGCAAGTCCCATCAAGGCCATAAGCTCCAAAAACCTGGATTGTCCGAGTGTGAGTGTTGAAAGCTCAAGAGAGCCCTTATTAGGTCGTCTCAACCCGAAAAAGTTGTCCCCGAGGTTGGTTCGTGGCCTCCAGGGTTCCGAAGGCTGGGTCGGTGAAGCGCTACAAGCCACCTGGCAGACACTCGAGGGGTGGGGTTTGGGTGTTCGGGGTTCCCTTGAATTGTTAGCTGTCGCTAGAGTTGCTACTTGCATGGCTTTAGGGAGTTAGCAGGGCTTAGACTAAATATAAGGGAGGCTGAGGCTGTTGAGCATCTTCGGAAGTCCCTCCTCGTGGAGTCGCGTTTCATGTGTCGAACATGTGCAGGCTTTCGTGCTCCGCTCAGTTTCTAGTCCGGGCAGAGGCAAAGACTTCCAGGGGTTGGGCTCCAGCATCCGAAATTGGTTGAGCATTGCCGGTAGTATCAAAGCAATGGCCAATTGGCATTGCACCATGCAGAGCTTCTTCCCCAGCATCGGAAAATCAACGTCGCATTACCTATGAAGTCCAACTGTAATGTGTGAGCTGCAGCCCTTAATGAGACCCGGCATGGGGGGCTGTGTAGGCCACCTTGCAGCCGAAGGAGCCTACACACATACAGTACATTGCGAGACCGAGGATGTTCAATCCTTCCAGCCATGCAGCAGGAGAGCTGGGCATCAACGCATTTTCCTCCCAATAACCTGGGGGTCCCCCAATTGGGATCTGACTTGAGAAGATCCTATAGTGGGAAGTCCCCTCTCTCCCATGAGGGATCCGAACGATTCGGAGAATCGTAATTACCCTTGAAAACCATAGCCAGCAATCCTAACACCATGAAGCGTTGAACATCCGTCAAACCTACATCCCTAAACCTGAGTTTGAGCCTGTTGTTGCTCTCCTCTAATCTTTGATTCTTGTTTACACCAACCAATAGACAAGCGCCAGCGCTACCCGATGAAGTCTGAAGTTGCGCGCATCATCCGGCATTCCGACATTCCCGGATTTCCGGAGGACCGCACCTTTGCACCGCCATCTGGCGGAACCCCTCTGGGAAGCTGGACAGAGCCCGGCGAGCCAGGGGCTCCTTAGTGTGGGCTACTTAAAGGATCATGGGACTTAGTAAGTAAGGTTATAAGTCCCCTAATTGGGGTTATAAGTATAGTTACCCTAGTTATAACCCTACTTACTAAGTCCCATGATCCTGTAAGTAGGGCTAACAAGGCTCCTTTTTGGGCTGGGGCTCCGGGGCAGACTGGCTACTGCTTCTACATTGCATCCAAAATCGTAGCCTCTTGCAGTAGCACCACAGACAACAATGGGAGTAATGCTGAACCAAGATTCGGACGCCTTGATGCTGACTGGTGTACTTGGCCCCCCAGTTCGAGTCTTGTTCAGGGCCTCACACTTGCTGCTTTCAAGCATGGGCTGAGGATGCATGATGCCTGACATCCAGACCTATCTATCGATCGATCGATCGATCTATTTATCGATCTATCTATCTGTCTATCTATCTATCTATCTATCTATCCAGCTATCTATCTATCCATCTATCTATCCAAGACTATCTATATATCTGTCTACCTCTTTCTATCTATCTATCTATCTATCTATCTATCATCGATCGATCTGTCGATTTATCGATGTATTTGTCTATCTATCTACCTATCAAATCTATCCATCGATCTATCGATCTATCTATCTACCTTTCTCTATTATGTGTGTATATATATATGTATATGTATATGAATATATGTACATGTTTTTTGCCCCGACCACGGGGTGTCTTCTATGTGTCAGGACAAGCGACTCTTCTGCATGGCGGAAAATCGCGAGGCCTGGGATGAGACAGAATCTTGGCGACCTTATGCCTGGCCACAAGACATAAACCATGATACCATAATGAAGTATAACATTGTATGATACCCAAAGAAGTAGTATGATCTAGTATAAGATCGTATGATCTTGTAGTAAAGTTATATTATAACATCCGTTCATCCCGGCCTTTGTTGACCTTTCGGGCTTCGGGGCTTCTGGGAACTCCGAAGCTGAGACGAAGCCTGGCTTATATGGAGCGTCAAAAGCAGGGTTTAGGGGTTAGGGGTTTAGGGTGCTGGCCGGCACCTCAGTCCGTGCTGAAAAGGGTTTAGGGTTGAGGGCTCGCCAACAGGTGTAGACGCATGAACAGCTTGTCCAGGCGAGAACCAACAAGCCTGCTGAAAAAAAGGGTTGAGGGCTCCAATCAAGCCTGTGTAAAAAAGGGTTTAGGGGTGAGGGGTTAGGGTTGCAGCATGTCTGTGCAAAGTGCTGTCTGGTGCCTGAGTCACGAGGCCCCGATCTTTCCACACTGACAGCAGGGTCTAGTGTAGTATGATATAATAATGTAGTATAATCTCGTACAATACAGTACAGTGGCCACCCGGCCGGCAGGGTTCGATCTAGCGATGCCCTGAAGCGTAAGGTTTGGAAACCCTCAAACCTCTAGCTGAACCGGATCCCCTGAGCCCTAAACTGAGGAGGAGGGCCGGTGCTTTGGCGTGGAGCTAGAAGCACTCAGAAGTTCAGCTCTTCCGCAGAGGGCTTTCATCGAGTGGCGAGTTTGGGGGTGGAGTGCGGTGCGCTTCGCAAAAGAGGCCAAAGTGGAGCACCAGATTCCCCCTGCCCCGCCCCTCGTGCAAGCCGCATACATGACTCGGACACTGGGATCACCATTTTGGATTTCGACTTTGACTTTTGTTGCTGCCCTTGAACCGATGCGAAGCAGGAAAGCCTTTTGGCCTTGGCTTGGGTGCTTCGGGTCTGAGCTTCGGATGGTGCCCGGTGCAAGGGGCACGACCGCCTCTGAGAGCAGCGACGACTTTCCTTGTATCAACACCCTTGGCCCGAAAATGATCAAACCTGGGACTTTTGTACCGAGCCTGGCGGGGTTGGGTCACTTCCTTGCCATTTGCAAGGTGCTTGGATGCGGAGCTGTGGGACGGACATGTGCCTGAGCAGTTCCAGGCAATCTCAGCGCAATAGACAAGATGGAGTGTACTCTGTCCGGTGTACTTGTCTTGACATCCTCCGGATCTGTTTAGCGTTTCGGTGGGTGTATATTTTTGGATGGGCAGGAATATCGGTGGGCATGTATGTTTAACATTTCCATTGCGAACACTCCCAACAACAAACCACAATGCACGCGATAACAATGTGGGAGCCTTTAACATACACATGCTCGCTATTGGCTAATACGTGCAGATAAAGTTCCGCACAACATTAGCCATGCGCCAGTCATGCCAGACCTACTGTCAGCCAATATATTACATACCTATATCGATATACATGTATATGTATGAGCCCTTTCTGCCCGAAAGAAGCTTCAGTAAGCCGAGTGCGAAGAAGGAGTCAGCTTGTCGGCTGTGCCATGTCGTCGGCTGTTGAGTCCTTGCCCCTGCTTCACTAAAGTGAGCCTTGGTCCAGGTAGACGAGTCCATGCATGATGCGCTGGAGGACGAATGGGAGAGCCTGAGCTGTATTCCTTGCATGGGGTCGCATCAGGTAGCCACAACACTTTTTTCCAGGTCTACAGTCGGTCCTAAGTTCTCAGCCTCATTGCAGTTCTGGTTCTGCGAGGCATGAGTGGCAAGAGGAAGCCGGCGAGGGCGTGGAGGACCCCACATGATATGAGAAAGGTACCTTCCTGCAGCCTGTGTGAATGAAGCAAAGCGCAGTCGCGACACACAGGGACGAATACAGAAATAGCTTGGCCACCCACTCTCTCTCTCTCTCTTTCTCTCTACATATACATATATATATATATATATGCCCACACAGACATACACACTTTTGCGTTTTCCTCTTCTGTTATGCGCGTACACCAGCACATAGATACATGTGTACAGAATCCTCGCTCCTCCCGCCGATGGGCCCGCTTCCCCGTTGCCTGTGCTGAAGGACTTCGGTGCCGAAGGATACGAGCTGATGTACGAGGGTGGTGAGGCTGGCGGGCGATTCCGGTTGTGGACATGGTTGTGGGACTGAACAGCGGCCCCTGCTTATACAGGAGCCTGCGCCAGACGAAGACTTCGCTGAGGCATGGAGCTTTTGCCAGGGACTGTATCGATGTACCGGAGACCGCATATATATATATATATATATGGATGGGGACATGAAGTGCAGAGCACGCAGTATAGGTTGCAACATTGCCTGTAGAACCACATGCATGCACGCGTGCATGCATGCATACACGTTGATTGCATGTTTTCCTTATCCGTTGTCTGTCCAGGGTAGGAAAGAGTGTGTGCGTGTGTGCGCAAGCTTGCAGGTGTATACATGCTCATGCAAAGCTCTGAAACCCGCCACCTGCGGAGGTCTGGCAAGATCCAGACTTCCCGGCAGCCGAGAAGTCTGTTGGCAGCGCCGAGGGCTGGGACGACTGGCGGCGGGTGTCGCTGATGCATCCGCAGGCCATGCATAGTCGGGCAGCAGTAGCTTGTGGCAGCTAGGGGAAGGATTCCATTCTCAAGCCACAGCAGCACGGAATCTTGACTTGAGAATCCACTGAAAGCCGGTGGGGCTGCAGGGCCTGGACTTAGGGTGCACGGACTCGTTTGCGTCATACTTATCGCATGTATCGCTCTAGACATCCGTTGGGCAGGCACACCTTTTCTGCCGAGTCACCTCCGATGATGCCATCAGTCCCTACTGTGGCACTGGAGGTTAGTTAAACGGCTCGAGCGGGAGACTGGAGTTTCGATGCGCGAGGTTTCGTGCCCAGGGATTTTGCATCGTTAGCAGTCGCTGTACTCAGTTCTCACGCGGCTGAAGCTTATATTGCTGGGAGGTCTCACGCCAGAGCCTGAACCGTGGAGGACGTGTCACCTTTTGCTTCGCCTGCCAGACAGGGAGAACACATCGAGGTCAAGTGTTTAAGGCTTCTGCTGAATGAGGCTTCTATGCGAGTTGAAGCACTCATCTTCTGGAAGCCTCGGAAGGAATGGAGAATAAGAAAAAACAAGCCTTGAAGCCACACATCTTCATTCGGACTCCGTGTCATCATTACTATTATATCATAGTTATCATCATTAGTCTTATCATTCTTAAGTTTGTTCCTAAATTTTTTTATGCCATATAGGATGCCCCAAAGCAACTAAGAAGCCAAGGCGATGCCTTGACCGGGAATTCCTGGTTCCTCTCAGCCATGGCCTGCGTCGCAGAGTGCCCCAAAGGCATTTGTAAAGTTGAGGTTTCCAGGGAGGGTCATCTGCCACCTGCCCTGTGATCGAGCCAGTGTTCCCCTTCACTCTCTCTGGCTTCGGGAACATGCGCATCGCGCGATGAGCAGGGCCGTCTTAGTGCCAGACTTGCCTCTGGTTGAGAGCGGAAGTTCCGAAAGCTCAGGATCTTCTTCTTAGCAGATTCTAGATCCCCGACAAGGTGCAGGAACCTAGGCACTGCATGCATGTGTCACCCGAACTTATCGCCACACCGCAGAGTGGGGACAGCTTCTGCAGAGTGCCATGAGGGAGAACTCCCTACAGCCTTTGAGCAGCGGCAAAAAATCTTGATGAATGTTTCACTTCATTGCAGACCCCGAGCCATATGCTTCGCCTGGAGTGTCCGATTGTGAGCGCCGAAACCCTGGACTATCCTCGCCTGCATTGCCCGAGTTGCGAGAGTCTAAACCGAGTCTAAACCCAAGAAGAAACAAGACCTACAGATTGAAAGGAACCCCGGCCCCACGAACAAGGGCGCTCCCAAGAAGCCTTCATCCAAAACCCCTGCCCGGGCCTCCAGCAATGTGGGGATAATGCCACCCCAAACTCCAAACAAAGCGGGGTCTAGGGCAGTCTAGGGTTCAGTTGGGGATTTGAATCTGGGGTTTTGGGGTACAAGAGGGATGAATCTTTAGAATCGATAGAGCCTCAGCCCTATGCCCAAGACAACAGCCACCTAAACCTAACAGCTTAAAGCGCCAGCTAACAGGTATCCGGCATGGATCGTGTCGGCCTTCCGGCATCTTTGGCTTCATCTTGGCAGGATTTGACGTACAAATCTGTGCTGGGATGTAGTCCCTTTCCTGCTGATTGCTATGACCCTATACCAACAAGCCAGGCAACCGAATGACCCAGGAGTGTATCGGTGAGGGTTCGATTTGCATTTAAGGTTAAGCTTCTGTTTCTGTCACTCCTCCGGTTGCATCCCTCGTTGAACGGGAAGGCCCTGCTGTTGAGGTGTGTTCGCTGGCACACAATCCAAGCCCATGCTGAAAAGGTTAAGCTTTAGAGCTTAAGGGTTACAATGCCTTCGTTCCTATTCAAGTAGGGTATTCGAGACATTATCTTTCAGGAGTGCTCTAGCCACTGGCGGGTACCATAAATTTAAAAAGAAATCTTCCTCCCCGCAAACGGGACATAGGTCGGATGCATTCAAGAATTGGGGATGTACTTGGACTTGGAGTTGCAGGGGTTTTCGGTCTGTCCGTTCGGTTTTGCTCGCTTGCCCGCACGTTGGGAAACTCGAAGCCCCCAGAATGGATCGATAGTAGAGGGAATTTGAAGTTGCATACAGAAATCCGCAGCCCAAGCATCTAGACTTCAATACCATGAACCTGATTTCAGACAGCCCGCCTAAACCCTGAAAATCGACCCCACGCACACGCACAAGATCGCAAGATGCTTAAGAACACCGGAATAAGTGAAGCCCAGCCCTAAACCCTAAACCCTTGGGACAAAACCCTAAACTTTAAACCCTGAGGCGGAAAAACGGACGTGCAAAAAAGCAAAAGCAAACCCCAAATATATATATATATATATAAGGCTGAACACCACGCTCACCGCCAACGGCGCTTATGCGGTTCGCTTCTACCACCCGGGGAAGCAGCGGTTCCAGCTGCTCGGCTCTCTCCGACCCTAAGGGCTTCAGGGGTTCCGAGGATCTATATTTTCTAATAAGAGTAATATAAATACTAAGAATACGAATGATACTAATGATACTATGAATACTAGTTTGGGCACTTAGAGCGTGTATTTGGGAAGATAAGCAGGCTCCACTTGTTGTCTTTAGTGGGCCCTTGGCTGCAGCAGGTTCGTGGAGATCGATGACCGCATCCCGACACTCAAGGGCGGCCCGATGTCTGCCGGGGTCACTCAGCCCCATCTGCAAAAACTCTTTCTTTGGAACTTGGGCTGGGTGGTTGAACAGGCTTTTTTGGAGCTTGGAGCAATTTTTCAGACTGCATTTGGCTCGGGGGCCCTGAGTGGGCATGTTGCCAGTAAAGCATCGCGCGAGATGGTTGAGCGGAGTTTCCGGCCTCTTGCCGGCTGAAATAGTCTCGCTGGTGTTCTACCTGTTAGAGGCTGCAACCTGCTTTTTGGAGCAGACCAGCATCGAACGCTTTCGCATTGAAAATCTGTAAGGGTGTTGAAGCCAGGAAGCTCCGAAGCAGAGAAAGCGCCCTCCCAGGTCACCCCAGAGGGGGAGGTCTGGGTCGCGTTACTGGAGAAGGCCTTTGCAAAGTTCTGTGGCTCTTACAGGCACCTTGTCAAGCAAGGTTCGGGGTCTGGGTTCTGTCAGATGGACTTGAGGAGTGTATAACTGACATGATACAGTGCACGCCACAGTTGCAAAGGCACAGTTGCACAGGGCACACTAGTATGCAGGGAATGCAATGGACAAAGTGCACCGCTGGCTGCACGGGCCTGCTTCTTCGCTAGAGGTTGGGATCACATTGCGGTTGTGATCGCAACGCTGGCGCTCGCCATGTCACCAAGGTGAAGACGATGAGATTAAACTATGACAACTATGACGACTATGAGGTTCAGATGAGCATGATGAGGGAAGTAGTTACCATGAAGAAGATAATAACCAGTGCGAGGATGATTGCGGCGAGATGTTAGTCGTGAGAATGTCAAAGGCAAGTGTGCTGCTTCTATATCGATCAGCGAAGCGATGACTTTCAGATCATTTTTCAGTTTCGAGATCTTTCAGGTTTACTGCTCTTCATTTGGTTTTCGACATGGCGGTGATTGCGATACTGGTTAGATGTCAATGAATGATGTCAGCCGCTGACCATTTCGGTGCTGCCAGTGATTCCTTCAAATTGTTATCTTCATGGCATCCGAGGGCTCTGCAAGGTGGATCTGTTGCCTACGGACTGCTGCTCGGCTCAGAGTTCGATGAGCTTACTGCACGATACTGCACGCTCTTTCCACCTGTGAACGCATGGGTTCTGGAGTTCTAGAGGTTATGCTCTTGATTCTTGATGCCGAACTGGCAAACTCGCCGCTTTGCCATCGTGCGCAACCTACCGGAAGCAGGCACGCAATTCATGTGATTTGCCGCCAACAGCCTCCAAGTCGGACCTTAAGGAGGCTTACCAAAACTGCTTCGCTCGGAGACCAGCCCGGACAAGCCTGGCATGCCAAAACGAACCTGACCCCTCGGTCTATCCCATAAGACGTTTGGTTACATAGCGAAATACCTGGGGAACTCAGGCTTTACCTCTGTGGCGGAGGGCTGGCGGAAAGCTTCGAAAGATCTGCCGGCGCGACGCGGTGGAAGCATCTCGGTGCAGTGTCCGGTTTTCGTTGGATTCCCGTGAGGGCGAGGTGGTCGAGATTGTTCTTCGGCAAACGAACGGAGAGTTTGCAGTTCGAAGTTTCCGCTTATTTATCACTGAGTTTCTCATCGCCTCTGTGGAATCAGTGCTCGTTTCAGCACGAAAGCCTGAACCCCCACGGGTCTGCACTGCGCAGGCACATCTACACCAAGTGGCATGGCAAGGACCAGGAGACTCTCGATCGGAAGCTGGCAGAAGGTTGGACAAATCTCAAGTCGACATGCCATCGTCCAGGTTGTGGGCCTTGGCTTCTGGATGCTTCCGGATTGACGATTCCGTAAAGTCACCTCGGGTCCTTACCAAGCCAAGTCCAGAAAATATCGCCTGGGCCGATGCAGGTGTGGAGGAAGACGGCTTGGAGCTGGATCAGGACGAAGTGGTCCATCGGATCTGTGAAGCTTTATGTACGCTGTCATGTTCTTATGATTTCCGTATGTGCTCCGGATCTTGGGCATTTCGATTGAAACGTTTCTAACTCCGACGAGCCTGGCGACTTCGGTACGAGAGAGAGACAGGAGGAGCTACAGAGATCTGAACTCTCGGCAGGACTCGCTGTGGGTCGTGCTCCGGGAATACATGGAGCGCCTGGTCCTGCGAAGTGTGACCAAGCCCGACTGTAAGCCCCAGTGTGAACTCTGTATGTCTGTGTGCATGCATGTATGTATATATATATATATGCGCATGTCTATCTATACCATGGTCATCACCATCACCCAAGACATTAGTCATCAGACACCGCGGCATGAGCTCTCTAGCACTAGATGGCAAAGCTCATGATGATTTGAAGGCTCTTGCAGGCTAGTCATGCTTAATCAGCAGTCGGGCTTCTTGGCTAGGATTGGGCTCGGTGTTTCTGAGCTTCAAGTATGAGGCCATGGCAAATGGCACAAGGCTCCGACCGCAACCCTTACAAAGCTTGGCGGAGGTACCGATTAATTCGCAAAGGCTCCTGGGTGCAGACACCAAGCGGGGCACACGCGTCCTTGACTGAGAAAGCCAGGAAGAATGAAGACGCTCAACCAGGATAAATGCTGCCGAACTCGGCTTTGAGACTGCAGGCAAGTTGCGAGATTTTGGGTTGTCTGTCCACATACCGTGCGGTGAGCTGAGGTTCTGCTACCCAGTCGCAGCGACCGTCATTCCCGAAATGATCGAGGAAGCCGAGAATCCATGACCTGTTTCAGTTGTTTGTCATTCTCTACTTATCTTGGTATGTGGGGCTAGATCTGCGACTGGACGAGGATTTGGTTGTCTTCTCAAAGTCCGCGCGACCACAATCAAGAGTGAAAGACTCGAAACTGTCGGCTTCAGGCAGACTCCCCACTTAGAGCATGTCTTCATTCTGTAGCCGCAACAAGCCCGCAGCGTCAAGACCACCCCTAACATCCTTAGTCTCCCAGATAACTTCCGGAACCCTCAGCCCATTCTGGGAGCTGATGCGGTGTCGTGATAGGTCTTTCTCGCTCTTACTTAAAGGATCATGGGACTTAGTAGGTAGGGTTATAACTAAGGTAACTATACTTATAACCCCAATCAGGGGACTTATAACCGTACTTACTAAGTCCCAAAGGTAACTATACTTATAACCCCGATTAGGGGACTTAACCTTCCTTACTAAGTCCCATGATCCTCCAAGTAGAGCTGTCGAAAAGTGCGAGCCCGGAGGGCACCGGGCTGATGCCCAAGCTGGCCTACTCCGTGATCGGCGCCCGCGAGGTGAAGCTGAAGCAAGGCCAGGTTTTCGAATTCATGCCTTAACAATTAACAACCCATTATTAACAATAATCAAACAAAAACAATAATAATAAGTAATAATAATAAATCCTTCATATTACTTAATAACAGCTGTTAGGTTTGTTGGGTTTCGAGTTTGAGGCTTCAGCTTGAAGGTTAGACTTGACCGGTATTGTGGCAGCTTTCGGATTCAGGGTTCTTGGAGACTTTGCAAAAGTGAGCGTGAACTCTTCGGAAGACGGGTAGCCTTGCACCCCCTGGCGGACGACCCCTATATGACCTATCTCTACCACCGACCTCAAACAAGCTAAAATTGTCTTCACTGTGGCTACAAAGTTTGAGGCGTAGTCCAGCTGATACTGATGATGTTCCCCCGCTCGGTCGCTAAATTCGGCAATTCACTGGGGTCGCACTGCTATGCGTGCTCTGGGTTCACAGGCCGGCAGATGGGCGAGAGAGTTTGAAGGGAAGTCCAGCGGATGCTGATGATGCGCGCTCATTAGGTCCAACTGCTATGCGTGTTCTGGCTTCACTGGCCAGCAGGTGACGGGGGAGCGAGTTTGAAGGGAAGTTCAGCTGATGCCGATGATGCTCGCCCGTGCGGTCGTAAAATTCGGCCATTCACTGGGGTCGAACTCGATTCGTGTCAGAGCGTTTGAAGGGAAGTCCAGCCGATGCTGGTGATTCCCATGCGGTCGTTAAGGTCGGCCAATCACTGGAGTCGAACTCGATTCGTGCGAGAGGGTTTGAAGGGAAGTTCGGCCAGTCGCTGGGGTCGAACTCGATTCGTGCGAGAGGGTTTGAAGGGAAGTCCAGCTGATGCCGATGATGCTCGCCCTTGCGGTCGTTGAAGTCGGCCGAACTCATTCGTGCGATGGTTCACAGGCCGGCAGACAGGAAGAGAGTTGGAAGGGAAGTCCAGCTGATGCTGATGATGCTCGCCCGTGTGGTCGTTAAATTCGGCCGCTCCCTTGTGATTGAACTGCCATGCGTGCTCTGGGGTCACCAGCCGGCAGATGATCGACAGAGCTTGAAAGTTTGAAGGGAAGTCCAGCTGATGCTGATGATGCTCGCCCGTCCAGTCGTTAAATTCGGCCAATCACTGGGGTCGAACCCCATTCGTGCTATGAGTCCACTCGCTGGTAGATGGGAACGAGAGTTTGCAGGGAAGTCCAGCTGATGCTGATGATGCTCGCCCGTGCGGTCGCGAACTGCCGCTGGCCGGCAGGTGGGAAAGAGATTTTGCAGGGAAGTCCAGCTGACGCTGATGATGCTCGCCCGTGCGGCCGCTAAACTCGGCCAATCAGTAGGTAGAACGGCGAAGCTGGTTCAGACGCGCGTACATGGGAGGTGTCTGAAGGGAAATCCAGCTCGTAGTTTTGGGATACACCATCTGAAATTGCGAGCCTGCTAGGGATCCTCCGATTGGTTCGCCTTCGCGATCCGCATGGCTACACTGGTTGGCAGAGGGCCCAGCACAGGGCATTCAGTAATTGGAGCAGGTTTTAGGATGTACGGTACAATGGTTTGAGGGACTATTAGGGGGATGCGATGACTGATTGGCTGTCACATATCCGACCGGAACTTGGCACCTACCTGCATCTGTTGTCCTCTCTCAAATCCAGTCGTACCGGCTGGTCTTCCGGGAACCTATATCCATTATCCGTTCTCCTCGTAATACCGTTGCACAGCACGACGCCACTGTAGCTCAAGCTTAAGCAGAGGGCTTCACCAGCCAACCATGGCGCCGTGAGACTGTGACTGCACAGGGCCGGAGCTGCATGGCCCGAAACCACCTGCGTGGCGTTGGCTGCGCCGCCCTTGCAGTCTTCCAGGCGCCTTTGCCTTATCGGCAGAAGGAACCCAAATCGCGGCCGCCTGCGTCGTGCGATGAGTGGCATCCAGGCTATGACTGGTCGCACGACTCCCGACCGTTTGTCGCCCCGCGTTGGCGGGGTCCCGCCGGCCACAAAAAGGAGCCAGTCTTCCGTCGCACAGATGTGCAGCAGCACGATGGCAGGCACGGCTCAATCTGGGTGACCTATCGTGATGGAGTGTATGACATCACTGAGTATTTGACAAGCCACCCTGGTGGGAAATTGATACTGCAGGCAGCTGGTGGGCCGGTTGATGGATGGTGGAAGCACTGGGCCCAGCACCACCTCTCTCCGGAGGTGGCGGCAACGCTTGAGACTTTGCGTATTGGGCGGCTGCTCGACTATGAAACCGAGGAGGACCTGGAGCGTTATGGAGGTGGAGCTTGGGAAACAGAGCAGACAGCACCAGGCCGCGAGGAGTCTCGCCGTACGGCAGTGATCCTGAGTGAGGTGCCATTTCAGACAGAGACGTGCCTGTCGGAGATGGCAGAGGAGTTTTCGACGCCCAAAGGCAAGCTCTATGTGCGAAACCATGCGCCCGTGCCTGCCATTGAAACGTCTACCGATCATATAGTCACATTTGTATCAGCGGGAGGCATGGAAGTGGATCTAACCCTGGGTGAGCTCCAGAAGCGGTTTCCTTGCCGGCGGATCATTTCCATCCTCCAGTGCACTGGAAACCGGGCAGCAGACAACATAGTGGCAAACGGCTATCGCAGCAGCCGCTTCGTGGGCGGAGATGGCGAGTGGAGTGGTGCCGGCATGCTGGGAAATGCATTATGGACCGGCTTCCGCCTGGATGATGTTCTGCACACGCTTTTCCCGTCACTGCAAACGATGTCCGCAGCAGCCGTCCAGGAACTGCACTTGACCTTGGAGGGGGCCGACGGCTTCTACACCTCTATACCCCTGAGTCTTGCTCTGGAGAAGAGTGCCGATTGCTTGCTGGCGACGCACATGAACGGGGAGGAGCTAACACCGGATCATGGCTTCCCCGTGCGAGCACTGTTGCCAGGCGTTGCCGGCGCCCGAAACGTAAAGTGGTTAACGAAGCTGACAATTGGGAAGGAGTCTGATGCCCCCTGGACCGCCAATTACTACCGCGATGCCGGGAGGTCCGCACCCATCTATGGCTTGCCCATGAACTCTGTGATCCTCTCTCCGGAGCCTGGGGCCTGGCTCGATGCCTCGGCGGGTGCCGTTGAAGTGCGGGGCGTGGCCTACGCCGGCGGCGGCGCGCATGCTATCCAGGCGGTGGAGCTTTCGGCAGACAGAGGTCAGAGCTGGCAGCGGGCGACCTGCCTTTTTGCAGAAATCCCACAGGATGACCGGCAAGGTCCGTGTCGGGGTTGGGTGCGCTTCGAGTCTGCAGTCCGGCTTCCACCCAGCGGCTCCGGTGTGAGGGGCTCTGGAAAGGTTTCTGGTGCTCCTCTTACGGAGCTCTGGTGCAGAGCTCTTGATGTTTCTGGACATGTCCAGCCAGAGTGTTCTGGGCCAAACGATGGCTATATCTTCAATGGCTACCACCGAGTTCCGCTGGTACGAACCTTGAAGCCACCGCTGGCAACGCCGGTTGAGTAGGGCTGCAAACAGACCTTGCCTATCCTTGCCTCGCCCGGACTTGCTGTGAAATTTGGCACAGGGAGCCCCTCACTTAAGACTTCGTGAGCTCTTGAGGTCCGGTCGCTGGTCCGATACGTCGGATGCCTGGGAGGATTGTCCGGCAGCGAAGCAGCAGGCGCGACGGAGACGAGTAATCCGTGGGATCTAACGGGGTTCACTGTCTTCGATCTGCGAGTTTTGGGAAGTTGCCGGGCACAGCACAGGATTTGGTTGGAAGGTCGACGCACATTCCCCGTGCCCGGGGGATTTCGGGAGGTCTGGTGCTTGAAACCCTCAAGTCCCAAAGCAGGTTCATTTCAAGCCAAATGTGACTGGGACCTTCTGGATGTCCTACACGGACTTCGGTGACTCGGACGGCTTACTTTGTTCTGTTGCCGAGCCAGGAAGCTGCGCTTGCGACCCCGGACCGTTTAGTTGGATCAGGTGCTCTGTCCAAAAGATTAGTAACACGTTAGCAGGGGTCGTGTGAGTGCTGCGTTCACGAGGGTGCTCGTCACCGTACTCATTGAAACCGTGACAGTCACAGAGCGTTGCTGGCGCTGATGTCTAAATGCCTTGTAGCAGAACGACCTCATGTTTGTAGTGGCGATGGCATCTGTCATGTCCTTGTAAGCATGGCTGTGATGATTGTGATGGCATGCAAGCAGCAATCCGGATCGCCATGACGCTCATGCTGAAGATGGGGGTGTGGGTGTTCCAACAATGTAGGGAACAACAGCTCGTCATCTTCACGGAGACCATCGCTGCCACAAGTTCTACTGTTGTCACCTTTACCAGCTGGCCCAAGCCCATTCCACCATCATCATCAGCAGCATCGTCAGCATCGCAAGCAGTTTCAATACGTTCATCACCTTCCGTGTCGACATGAGCGAGTAAGTCACACATAATCGGCATCACTGTCGCCACCACCACCACCATCATGGTCGTCACCAGCATCCTCGTCATCACCATCATCGCCAACACCCCCTTCTTCGGCGCTTTCACCGTCCTCTTCCTCCTCCTCCCACCATCGCCAGCACCAGCACCAGCAGCTACAGCATCATCAGCAGAATTACTATGGCCATCCCCACTGCCATCTGTACCATCAGCATCATCGTCACCATTTGTTGATTGAACGGTCTCTCTTCTGCAGAAGAGATGCATGCTCGCGATTGCGAGGCAAGTACTTTGGGCGGATCGACACGGTGAGGACGCTAACCGCTGTATAACCTTCCGCAGAGCAATCTCAATGTCTTCTTCCTCGCTGGCCGTAGTGATTGAAGTAGCTCCGATGAAGAGCATGCCTTTAGCTCAGGTTATGCGGTTCGAAAGCGAGCACAGAAGATGTTTGGTTTTTATGGGACATAGTTGCGATCGTGCTGTGAAGAGAGCTGTGTGTGAGGCATTGCCAGGCAAGTAGAACTTGAACTACCAGCAAGCAATCTTTGCTTCAACAATATGTTCTGGCTGGCAACACCTGCTGGCTAATCCATTAGCATCAACATTGTCCCTCTCCAGCTCTCTGTCGAACTTGGCCCTTAGAGCTTATAGGCTTCTACTGGGATGCAAGAAGCTCGAGATGTCCTGACCGAAGGAAACCCATGCCTGTGCCCTGGCGGATATTTGAAGAGTCAGGGCCTGGGCCAGGGAGGGCCGGTCAGCTTTCCCATCACCCTTCACCCCACCGTTCAGCTGCCAGAACCTTCTAGGAAGACCTACTGCAGCTACTCGCAGGCCGTGATTCAGACCTTGCATGCAGGCAAGTACAGTACCTTGGATGCCCGTAGCTCATGCGACCCCGATCGTCAGCTCTGAAATCCAGGTGCAGGGCTGTAAGGAGGCCAAGCTGCACGGCGCCATCCGAGGGCTGCACAAGATGGGCACATTCTGATGAGATACCACGCTTCGAGGTTGTGCGGGCTGGGTGAGGGAAGGGAGCCTCAGCGAGTTTCATTTCAGTATTTTCTCGGCCGAAGATGCCTCGCTCCGGAGGTTGGAGTTTCATCGTGAAGCGTGAATTAGGGTTTTGGTTAAAGTTTGCGGGACCTTCGTAAACGGTAAACGCCGTCTGTGTGTGTGTGGCCAAATGACAGCAAGACCAGAGGAGGAGGAGCAGGAGCAGAAACAGGAGCAGGAGCAGGAGTAATTAGGAGCAGCGACGTTAATAGTCATGTCATAGTAGCAGGGACCGTAGCAGCAGGGCGAGAAGCAACACTGCCAAGCACTCCCACTAGAAGCCCGTGTCCCAGCCTTTGGAAATGCCAACTTGGGACAAAAGGTGTTGGCTTGGCGTGCCTCGTGGAGTGAGATGATGCGTAGCCGACACTCCAGACCCTTTCAAGATCACTTATGTAACTTTATGTGAGGGATTGCTTCTTCATAACCAGGCTTTGTACTTCTGGGCCATAAATGCGGAACCTGAATCTGAATCTTCGGCAGCTTGCCTTCCAAGGCATTGAACAGCCGCGCCCAACGTGTGCGTTGCCCCTGCTTGGAGCTATGAGGTTCCCTTATCTTCAACAGTTCCTCCGTGCATCAGGTAGGCCAGGAAGATGCTAGTGTGGGCGTGGGGATGAAGCCTTGACGGTTTGAGGCCATTGCCGATGAAAACCATTACATGCAGCTCCTCATAGCAGGAGGCTGCAAGTTTAAAAAGCCGATAGGCTGCCCGTCGGCCCATCCGTCGCCCAAAATGGGACGGATGGCGGCATGTTTCTGCAAAGCACCGGAAGCATGTGGGCAAACGGCAGTGCCGCAGAGAGTCCAGGAAAGTTTCGCGAAGCATCCTGCACTTCGTTGCCCGGTATGCTGCAGACAAGGACTAAGGAGATACCTAAACGATGCACCACTTCCCACCAATACACTCAGACTAGTCGTAGTCGTAGCAACTGCACACAACCCCCAACTATCACACGCATAAGCACGCGGCGCGCCATTGACAATTGCAAGTCCAAGTGTAGTATAGTGAATTATAGTCTTGCTCTGAGTCGACAGATTACCGCTTGGTCCAACACGAGGATTCCTTCCTGCCCGCAGGCCGCAGGTGTCCGACCTGGTTGGGCCGTCGACTGGCCCGGATCCCCAGTCCTTGCAAATGCTTGATTCTGAAATAAACAGATAAATAAGTAAATGTGTATATATATACATATATATATATATGTGTGTGTGTGTATGCATGTGCACTTGTACACCCTACATGACATCATATCATGTATATGACTGTATATGGTACCTATAGGACAGAGATGATTATTATTATCATCAGTGTGTGTGTATGCATATTTATACATAACATATGCATACATACACTTCAATACACGAGGATGCAGACTATGACTAAGCATGACACAAGCATTGGTAGGCAGTAGGGGTGAACAGCGAACAGGGTTCTCATGGACATGCTTTGGCATTGGTGCGAATACTAGCGGCAAGTCTCCTCCTCGTTAATGTTAGGCCATGTCCACATGAAGCACTAGTTGGGATCATCCAGACTACCATGGAAGAACCGTGAAAGTTTTCACTGCAGGAGGAAATACGCACAGAGCAATCATGTTCGAATGCAAGAGAGTTTGCATGAGTGGTGGTGCTAATCACCACCTCCACCACGGCCAGCACCACCACCACCACCACCGCCACCACCACCACCGCCGCCGCCGCCGCCACCGCCACCGCCACCGCCACCACCACGACCTCCACCAGCATATGACGACGACCCTGATAATCGTTGATTATCACCACGGCTCTGACGACAACAACGGCGACGACGACCATCCATACTCAACTTGAGAGCCGTAGCTGGTGGTCACATCATGTTAGTAGTACTGGCAACGGCAGGAGGGGTGGGCGATGAAGCCAAACTGTCTTCGAGGGCAGCAGCACATCTCCCAAATCCGCATTTCCGTGCCCTTGACTTAAATCGTTCTGTTCGCCCAGAGTGGAATTAGTGAGGTGGTTTTCAGATTTTCATAGGACGATGTGGGACTGGTAGCCGCGAGCCTCGGAGTGGCACATGATGGAGTCGTTGCGGTAGCCGTAGAGCTCGGGCAGAGACTGCGAAGACGAGCGAACCGATAGGTCAGAACAAAGTACCGTGCCAGTTGCGGTGAACAAGACACCGAGCTGTAAACCGTGGAATTCGGATGGCTCGTTCTGCCTTTCACATGCAGCATCTCAGACCCGCTCGCCTCGAAGAATGAATGATGGCGCCGATACTGCAGCTGAAGCCGAGGGTGAGCAGCATCCTAAATGCAAGGGCGAGACCGCTAACGGCAAGCCTTCCAAGCGCCCAACCAAGATCAAGCCGTCCAAAAAGAACATGGCCAGACATTTCTCTCCGTGGCCTTGTCCTGGAGGAAGCAGTGCCTCGAAGTCTGCGCTGTCGTTGATTTCGCAGATGGCTGCTGGAACTGTTGGGCCGGTGTTGTCGCTGCGCACGTCGCTGGCTGGGTGCCTGGGTGCGGATCTGCACGCGGTGCTCCGTGCCCTGGAAAATAACCAGGCCGGGATGGAGAGGCAGAGATTCCAGAGATTTGAAACCTGTGATTCATCAGGGAAGAAGTAGCTGACGCTTGATTCCAGCAGTGGCAAGCCGGACTCAGGATATCCACTTCCTGAGCATCGGCTGCAATAGTGCATTGGCTACCTCCACATCCCTGGCTTCCCTGTTGGCGCAAGTGCTCCGGCGCGGCTTCTTGTGGGCGTGCACCTGGATCCAAATCTTAGTCTAATTCCAACGTTGGTTTTGGTCCACATGTTCTTTCCTCGTTGTCCAACTAGGCAAGATGCTACAGTAGAGCCAGGAAAAGAAATTGAAGGGAAGCTTGCCAAAGCTGCCCAGGCGACTTCGGTGAGCTCTACTTCCGTGGAGACGTCTTGGAAGTTCTCCTCAGAGGACTCGAGGGCCCGAAAGGAGCGGGGTTGGTTTAGGGCTTAAGGTTTAGGGCCTTTCGGGTTTAAGGTTTAGGGTTTATAGGGGGGTTCATATTACTTGTTGCTGCTGTAAGAACCAAGCTCCTGGTCCTGGGTTCAAAGAGAGTGTATTACTGCGATGAGTGTTGCATGTAGTTTTCAGGGAGTCAGGTTTAAGCAAGGTTTGGGGCCTCAGTGCTTGGGTGTGGATGCAGGGTTTCTGGTTGACTTCTGCCAAAAGCCGCCAGGAGTTCCTCTTAGCAACTTGGCCTTTACCTTCATTGAGTCTCGGCCGCCCTTAAGTCTTAAGTGCGCAGATCAGCTGCGAATGGTATGAGCCAAATGTTCCGCATCTACACGGTGGTTAGCGTGTTGGTTTTCTTTTTGTTCTGCCTTTTGGTTACAGCGAACTTAGGACAAAGGCTGCGGCATCAATGAACGCCAGGCCGGAGTTCAGCCAACTTGACTTGGGGTACTTGCCGATGGAGGTTTGGGGCTTTAGGGTCTCACAGGGGACTGTTCTTCAACACTTCCTACAAAGGAGCCCTCCGCGTTAATACCCTGTTACCACCTCTCTCGAGGGAACCAGATCTGGATGCGCACTCCCAAAAACCCCGAACCGAAAACCGCCTACCGAAACCAACAGTTTTTTGAAAACCGCCCAGACTCCCGAGGGTTCGGGGCCGTTTTAGGGCTGAGGGCATTTAGGTCACTTCGGGATTTTCTTGGTTTGTTCGGGCTTAGGACTGTTAGGGCTGTCATTCCACGGGACGCTTCCTGTCTAGCAGGTGGCCCGGCTCAAGGCGTTGACTCGCGAGCGGCGGTTGCTGGACAAAGCGATTTCCTCAACCAAGGTATATAGGGTTTAGGGTTTTTGATGCCCCCTTTGGGCAGGGTTCCTGATTGGAAGGTTCCGTTTCTTATATTTCGGGGGCCGCTTTTTCTACCAAACCTCGCAAAGCGGTCGACATTCCGATCCTCAGTACTTTGGGTTCCCTGAAGAAGAGAAAGATGCAGGTGGACAGGACGCACGCTGCCTGGCTCGACATACCGCGAGTCTTTGGGCTAGTGATGCGGTCCAAGAATCTGACGAAATGTTTCTGGCGTCCTTACCAGGAGGGTGAGTTTTGGCGGAGGGCAGGGTTTCACTGCTCCGGCCTACGCTTGCTCCCCGAATCTGCAGGCAAACGAGTGAACCCTGCTATTCAGCGGCTGACCAACGCCTTACATCGAGGGAATTTGGAGCCTTTGGCCTTGCAGAAGGCCTTTCCTCCGGGAGAGAAGGGGGCGCGTCGCAGCCGCGAGCTCCTGGAGGCCGCGCTGGAACGCGACCTGCCCCCGGCACCACTGCCGCGCTGGGTCTTACCGGGATTTATTCGTGAACCCCAGAAGCGCCAGAAGGAGGAACTGTCGCAGCCTGTTCTGCGCGAAGGGCTCCTGAAGCGCAGGCGCCTCAAGGAGGAGCCGAGTCGGGATGTGAAGCTCCAAGATGTGGAGTTGCCAATACAGCTGGAATGAGTCTGAGGATGCGTGCTTCAGCTTGAAGCACCGTCCGGCATGCCAAGCCGAGGCCTTTTCGTGTGAAAATAATGCATGTACCAGGCAGCAGGAGCGACGTCTAGGCCAGGCAGCCAGTTTTGCTATGCCTCAATTAAAAGGGTAGGGTGTGTATGCTGGTCAAGCCTTCGAAGCGTAAGAGCGTCCATGAGAGAATTACCGGACCCACGGGGCATGTTCCGTTGAAATGTGTTCAATTCCTCAGCCCCGACATGTGGTAACAGCGAATCAGAGTAGCTATACTGGCTTGAGGCCGGCCACGCTGTCATTGAATCCCAAGGCAGGGCGTTTTAGAGCTGTGAGACAGCGGGAATATGTGGCGTGGCCTTTGCCTAGGCGATGCATGGCTTCTCGTTCGACACGATAATTTCCAGAAGTGTGGAGACTGGGCCGATACAAAAGCCTAGGAAGGATTCTGCCCGCTTCCAAAACTTTCAAAACTCAAGCCGAACTACTCTTGTCAAAGGTAGAAACCAAAGGATGTCTCTTGGCCACTGGCCGACAGAAGCAAAACTTCATCCAGCCAACCCAACATGACATGGGCGCGAACGACGGATCGAGTAGTTTCCGCAAGACTCACTTGGAACACTTCATTCGGGAGAAGTGGGGTGGGTTGTGTGTCTCCGGCCAGATGACTTGACGACTACACCTTTTGGCTTTCTTAGAATGTAATTGTGAGAATTACGTAGGGTTTAGTGACATCTATCTATCTACCAACCTACATAGCTACTGACCGAAAGACCTACCTAGCTACCTTCCGCTATGGCTACCTACCCATCTGCACCGGATTACACAGCCACCCAGCTATCTATGTATCTATCCTTCCATCCATCGATCTATATCTGTAAAGATGTTACTGCTATTGCCTGTTGTGCTTACTGCTGACTCATGCGCCTCGGCAAAGCCCGATTGGCAGGTGAAGCTTCCAAGTAAGCAGGCCGGAACTGCTGACACTGGTGTTGACGCAAAGGCTTCAACAAGGTTTTGGGGTGCAGGGTTTCAGCGTTCCTGCGCAGTTGCATGCGAAGCTTCCAACCCTGCACGCGCACAAGCCGCATAAGCATGCAGTTGCCCCCACATCCAAGCTCATGATGCACAGAGTGCTTCTTCAAAGTAGGCTTCCCGGCTTCCGGCTCCCCATGCTAGGCGAGTCGAAGCCCTAAACCTGAAGCTCTTTGCTCTCTGCCGAATTCAGCGAGGACTTCGTCGAAAACCCTGGGGCCATCCTGGAGCGGCTGGGTTCTAAGCTTTCTGAAGATGAAGAAAGCACCAGATGCCGGCCAGAGGACAATATCATGGTGCATTATAATACATGATAGTATGCGAGGTTTTTTATCGTATATTACGGTATGAATGAGAGTCGACATGTGCTTTTTCCGTATATTACGGTATGAATGAGAGTCGCCATATGTTTTCGGACCGACGAGCGAGCATATCATGTCGTGGTCAGTGCGCATAAAGGCTCGTAGGACCTTCTTCAGCCGTGTGGGCAGAAGGGCTTTCCAGCTTTCGAGGGCTTTGCAGTGTCAGCTTGCGTCGTGTGGCATTTCACAGAATATTATGATACACTATGGTCGTTTATAGTATATTATACAGCAGTTTCTTGTAGTATATTCTGATATCTTATAGCCGTTTCGCTGTATCCGGGCCACGGCGGGTGGTTTCAGAACATCTTCAAGGCCGGGCTTCGGGCGCTTTTGCGGAGGAAGGTAGGGCTTCACCTGGCTGCCGCTGGTTGCCAGCAGAGCCTACATTGGCCCATATCTCACAGGAGAATAGTTAATTCGTGGTCATTGAAACGAAGGCCGCCTGAAGAAGATGCCTCAGCGTTGCCCGGTACGAAGTGGGAAAGCCGAAATTGACAGGTGCCCGCTCCGACGGAGTGTGGCTAGACAACTTTACGCTTTCGCACATACCTGACCTGAATCTGGGGTGTCCAGATGTGACCACTGAAGTGGCATTTCTCAGGTCTGGCATCACAGTGGCATTCCGGAATTTGCACCCTGCGCAGACCTCAGCACTACCCGCACGACTAAGACTGTTGCTGCGCTACTACTACTACGACGACGACTACTACTACCAAAACAACAACAACTCTACTATTTCTACTGCTACTGCTACTAGTACTGCTTCCGCTTCTACTTCGACTGCTACGACGACGATGGCTAGCACCACCACTATTACGACAACCGCTACTACTGCGACTGCGACTATGGCCTCTACGATGACGACTACTGCGACTACCACTGGTTTTGTACGGCCACTACTGGCTGCTACTACTACTATGACGACGACGACTACTACACTCGCGACGATGACGAATTTTGGCAGGATGTTTTCTTCTGCCCGAGGTGAAGTCGCGGCAGCGGCAGTGCTTCGGCCCTACGTCTCGCACTTGTTGGAAAAGCCAGATGCTCAACTACCCTTGATAGTGAAGGGAAGAGCCGTGAAGTCCGCCAGCCACTGAAGAATTCCGTGTTGGGGTGGTGGTCCAGGGTTTACAAGACCAGCTGGTTTCGCGGAGATTGGCGAGAACCATGCACGATAACATGCTGGAGGGCCATTCGCAGATCGCAGCTGTTGATGTGCTAGACAGCTGGTACTCTTTTTTTTGCTTTTTGTAGTTTCGTTTTGATGCCCGACCCCTTGTCTCCAGTGCTTTTGCCATGTCGCTGCTTATTTGGCGTGTTTTACGATGCGGGTTCTGCTCGAGTTGTTGAGATGTCTTGTTTTATTGACTTTATGTGTCCTTCGGGTTTTTGCTTGCGCTTTTCATGCCTTCTTGATTGGGGATTGTTTTGGGGAACTTCGGACCTTTGTGAACTTGGGTCCAAAAAACCAGATGAATGCAGGTTCTAGTGCTATAGTACTTTCAACGGTTCCTGATGTGCAGCCGACAGCATGGCACATGCTGATTTCTCCTGCTAGAACTCACATGCAGGAAATGCAACGACTCCGTCATCCTCTATGGTCATAACCTCTTCCCAGCAAGTACACTCCAGGAGCGACATTTGCACAACACTACGAATTTCAATGCTGCATGCCCAAAGACAAGGTCTCGAAATTTCTGGTGATTACTGCGAGTTTGAGCTCGGGCCTCAGCTCTTGAAGGTGCGGCGGGTGCATGGAAAGTCCTGGCCACTTATTATTACTATTATCATCATTATTATTATTGTCATTACTGCTGGTATTGGTATTATTGATATAAGATACCCAAACGGTCCGTCACGCTTGTAGTGTCCCGAAAAGCTTCAGGATGACGTCACAGGGCTTGGGAGGCGCCCCAAACCGATGTAACAACGCACGGAGCATAAGCTTTATTACTATTGTTTGTTTTTATTGCCAATACTATTTCCAGTATCATTATCATTACTTTTACGACTATCATTGCTACTGTGGTCATTTGTTATTATCCTCAGTTAGTACTGTTGCTGTCACTATCATTGTTGCTTTTTTTCAGGTTCCAGTCCGACGGCGATGGTGCCGGATACCCCGAGCAGCGATGGGGTTTCTGGGCGTTAGTCGCCCAAAAGCCTATCCAGGCGCCTTGTATTATTACTATGATGATGATTATTATTCGTATGATTATTGTTATCATTTCTAGTTTTTGTATTTCTGCATTTAGTATCAGAATAATAATGGTTATTATCGGCGTTCTTGCAGAATCAGGGCCTTCCCGGGTTTATGGGTATTCGACTGGTTGGCTGGGGTGTGTCCTTCGTCGGGCTTGCGTGCACTGTGCAGTTTGAGGGAATCTTTATTACGACTATGATGATGATGATTTTCACATTGTCATCATCATCATCATCATAATTTCTGTTGTCAATGATGTTTCGTGCGTTGTTGTTGCTGTTGCTTTGCCGTTGCTGCTGCTTCTGCTGCTGCCGTTGCTGTTGCCGTTGCTGCTGATGTTGGTGCTGATGCTGTTGTTTCTGTTGCTGTTATTGCTGTTGCGGCTATTACTGTCGTTGTTCTTGTTCTTGCTGTTAATTGTGCTTGGTGTCGTTGTTATTGTTGTTTGTCTTGTTATTGTTCTTGTCATTGTTATTGTTCTTGTTGTTGTTGCTGTTGCTGTTGCTGTTGCTGTTGCTGTTGCTGTTGCTGCTGCTGCTGCTGCTGCTGTTCGTGCTGCTGCTGCTGCTGCTGCTGCTGCTGCTGCTGCTGCTGCTGCTGCTGCGACTTCTACTGGTGATGAGGATGATGGTGATGACGACGACGACGACGATGATGATGATGATGATGATGATGTTGATGAT